TCTGCCTCTGCCTCTGTCTCTGTCACACACACACACACACACACACACACACACACACACACACACACACACCCCAAACCCAGACAGCTCTCAGACCAGCCCTGGTCCCAACCTCTCTTCCCTTGCAGAGAACCTGGAAAAGGTCAAACCTCCCACGGTCACAGTGTTTGAACCATCAGAAGCAGAGACCTCCCGCACCCAGAAGGCCACACTCGTGTGCCTGGCCACGGGCTTCTACCCCGACCACGTGGAGCTGAGCTGGTGGGTGAACGGGAAGGAGGTCCAGAATGGGGTCAGCACGGACCCGCAGCCCTACAAGGAGCGGCCCAACGAGAATGGCTCCAGCTACTGTCTGAGCAGCCGGCTGAGGGTGTCCTCTGCTTTCTGGCACAACCCTCGCAACCACTTTCGCTGCCAAGTCCAGTTCCATGGGCTCGGGGACGACGACAAGTGGGAAAACACCAGCCGGCCCAAACCCATCACCCAGAACATCAGTGACGAGACCTGGGGCAGAGCAGGTGAGCGGGGCCTGGGGGGCTGGGTGGGGAGTGAGTTAGAGCACAGAAAGGGGGGATCCAGGCAGAAGACCAGGCAGACACCGGACAGGGCGGGAAGACTAAGGCCCAGCGTGAGGGTGAACGGGCACCTCGGGGCTAATTCCTCCCCAGATCCTCAGCCCAGCAGAGCCTTGCAGCTGGGGTCCCCTCACTGTCCGAGCCTGTATGGCTCAGCACTGACGGGGGTGCCCCCAGCCCCTCTGTGCCACCACATTCCATGGGGTCCTGGGATGGTGTGGCTCCGCGGGCACAGCTCCAGAAAGACGGTCTAGGCGTCTGCGAGAAGCCTGGTCTGAGCCTGGGCGTCCGTGCTAACCAGGAGGCTGACTTAGTGTGTTTGTGTTTGTGTCTGGTCGGTTCTTAACTGAAGCACAGCTGACAAATAGTATTGCCTTAGCTTCACGTGTGCCTAACTTGGCAGCTTTCCGTCTGCTTTAAAAGATGGGGTCTCTCATCCATTCCCTCCGCCTTCTCTCTTTCAGACTGTGGCTTCACTTCAGGTAAGTGACCCTCTCCTCTGCTTGTTCTCCGTCTCCCATGGTTTTGTCCTGCAAGCCAAGCATGGAGAACCATGGACCCCGGGGTGGGGGGTGGAGAGGCCAGAGACACCTGCTCACAGGTCCCTGTGCGCTCTCCCTTCCCGCCCACAGTGGCCTATCAGCAGGGCATCCTGTCTGCCACCATCCTCTATGAGATCCTGCTGGGGAAGGCCACCCTGTATGCCGTGCTGGTCAGCGCCCTGGTGCTGATGGCCAAGGTAAGGAGGTGGGCAGGATGGGGCCCTGGAGGGGACACTTAAAACATAGCAACTCAGAGCTGGGAGTATCGAGAGACCTTGCTTGGGCCAGGGGTGGGCAGTAGAAGAAGACGGAGGTCCACCCACAGGCCTCAGAAGACACACTGTACCTCTGGGATCACAGTGGGGGAGCCAGGCAGAGAAGGAGAAGCTGGGGTCACATGAAAACCCAATGGACATGGTAAAGAGAACTACCATTCGTCTTGTCAGCGGACCATCTTACTTCCTCTCCATCCCCATCACTCCTGACTCCGGCTAACCCCTGGAACCTTCTCTTCTTCAGGTCAAGAGAAAGGGTTCCTGAAACCAGCTCAGAGGCAGAGCTAGGAACTTCCAGCTTCTATTGCCCCAGTATGGATTCTCCTTTCTCCACTTCTAGCCGGTGCTTCTCAAGAGCTGTCTTCATCTCTCTGTTCACCCCAATAGCTACCCCCTATGTTCATGCACACCTGGACGCTCATGACCCAAATCTCCCTAACCCAGGGGGGACCCTAGCCTGACCAAATTGACTGAATCAATAAAAATGGCCTGTTCTGGCTTGACTCTGCCTTGTGATGTCTGGATATCTCTTCTGCCCATGGCTGACCTCCCATGTGACTCCAGTCAGGCTAGAAACAAGAGGTTTTTGAGGAAAGAGCAGGTCCCTCCGGTACCAGGGCTGAGGGACCCAGCCTGGGGCGACCCCGCTCCTCTCTGTCAGGGTAACTTGAGTAGATGTGAACAGGGGTGCTGGGATTGAAGAGGCTTACTCAGGAATAGCCCAGAAAAACTGGTGACGTTTCCTATAAGAACTTTCTGTCCTACCTGGACGAAGGTGCTCTGAGGAAGAGTCCACCTACACAGGTGTGTCTCCCGCCAACTGGTCATGTACCCATGGCTGGGTGGCTCAGTCGGTTAAGCGTCTGCCTTCAGCTCAGGTCACGATCCCCGGGGCCTGGGATCGAGCCCCACATCGGGCTCCCTGCTCAGTGGGGAGTCTACTTCTCCCCCTCTGACCCTCCCCCCTCTCATGCTTTCCCTCTCTCTGTAATAAATAAAATCTTAAAAAAAAAAAAAGAAGCTTGCTTTCATACCTATCACCCCATTCATTTCAGCTGTCTCCCTGAGTACACCACTGTTTTCATTTGTCACCAAGCAGTCTTGGCGGCCGAGAAGAGAAGGCGCTGACTTGGAGATGGATTCTCAAGTAGCACATGTGTCTTCCAGTTTAAGTCACAGATCTGTTTATAAGTTTCTCTCTCGTGAATTACATGGGTGTGAAAATGATCACTCCTGGAAGGATAGAAAATAAAGGTCGCCAAAACCAAGAATCAGCCCTATTGCTATTTCTAGAAATCCTCTAAGAGCATTTCAGTTGTCTCATTGTCACCGTGGTGATGCGGGGCACAGTCCTGGGGATGGCTTCTAGGCAGTGGTCCTCTGCTTCCTCACTCCATGCATACCCCGCTCCTCTCACCCTGCATCCCGGAGCCACCCGCTCTCAGGCTATTTTGCACTCCATCACCTGGAGGCACAAAGCACTCCAACTTCTACTTCTTCTTGAAGACTTAGCCCCAACATCTTCCCCGGCAAGAAGCCTTCTCGGGCGCTTCCTTGCCTGAACTAGCTAGCCATCTACTCTCTCACTCATGGGACTGTAACACATGACTTTCTTTCTCCATTGCGATGCATGAGGCATTCACATGTGTGTGCACACTTCTACAACACACACACGTATATGTATATATATATATTTACATACACGCGCGCGTGCACTAACCCACTCATCGAGCACACATCATTGCAATGTTCTGCTATTCACCTTCAGGAAAATAAAGAGATCCATGTCACAGTCCCCAGGAAGCCTACCTGTTCACGAGGGGGTCATTCATGAATAGAAACAGTGGAAATACAAAGTGATGCTTTCCAATAGCAATGTGAGCTGTCTACTAAAATGCAGTCAGAGGCTAGCACTCAACTTCCCACTGAGATCATCAGGGTGGCAAACTCTTCAAAGAAAGAACTGGTCTAATTACCCCTGTGAGGCGCTGGTTGTGACGGTCAGAGACATGAACCAGAGCCGAAACAAAGGGGTCCGGTACTCGCGGGTGCTTAGCCGGGGACGAGGTTCCGAGATAGGAGGGATGAGACGTTAGGCAGGCTGGTGCGGGCTCCTCGGAGGGTGGACTCATGCACATAGGGGATGTTCATGGAGCGTGGGGGCTACATGAAGGATAAGGAGCTTGGACTCTGTTCAGGGAGCAGTGGGGAATTATAGAGGTTGCTTGTCCCCATGCCCCCTGCTATCACCTGGTCTATGGAATCCACCCTTCAACCCTCCCACCCCACCTCACTATAAGTGCCTGTCTGTGCAGGTGGGCACAGTGAGTCCCAGAGGGGAGACCTGGTGACATAGAATGTTCTGCCGTGGGGCCTCTGCCCTGCCCCCACCCCATGAGCACCATGACCTTCCCCAGCCCCTCCCCACTTTAAATGTACTCTGAGTTTGCTCCCAGCCCCAGTCAATCAAACCTCTGTCATCTGCACTTCCTGCCTCTGCCCAGTGGCTGGGGGAGGGGACCAGAGGGAAAGAAACATTTTGTATCCTGCTGTAACATTGTGGGAGCTGGGGGGCCACCATGATTCAGGTAGAGGGGGTGCTTTTACAAAAAGCCCTGCCTCAGAAAATATCTCCACCCAGCTCAGGAAACACAGCTCCTGGATGGGGAGTGGCTGGGAGGTGTCTCTGGAGCTGGTCCCTGGGTCCCAGACAGCTTTCCAGGAACGTGAAGGGCCAATGCATCAAAATGGGATCATCATGACCATTTTTGCAGTGATTAAAAAAAAAGGGGGGGGATCATCATCCAGCATTTTTCATAAAAACTTGCCCTTGACAAAAGTACTTACACATGCGTTTATTTATTAAGAACTCACAACAACACTGTGTAAAACCTACCACCCCACTTTTCAGATGAAGGAAATAAGGCCAGAGAGGTTGCAGGTCCTGTAAGTAGTAAGAGACAGGGTCTAGCCTGGAACAACCCCCAACTCCAGCCCAAACCCCCATCACCAATCCCCGTTCATTTTCCACCTCCACTGTATTGTCCCCAAGCCAGGTTGATTCTCCTCCGCAAACTGGAGATGATCTCCCGTGGCATGGACATTACTATGTCCAGCTAGCCCTGGAGGTGGGATGAGAGAAGCCCAGGAAGGAGGAGAGTGCACCCCCAGCTTGTGTCAAGGGAAGTAGGAAGGAGGAGAAATTCTTGGCAGCCCCTGCCCACTGTGCTATTACGGGGAGCAGCACTTTGGGCCAGGGACCCGGCTCACCGTACTAGGTAAGAAAGCCGCTCCCGGTGGGAAGGAGGGTGGGTTGCCCAGCCTGGACCATCCCCAGGACCTTGGCCCTCAAGGAGTGGGTGCTGGCCCCTCCCTGGGCCCCTATCGGGAGGGCGGGTTTGTGCCTGGGTCCCCAGAGCTGTGCAAACACGGGACAGCTGTACTTCGGGGCCGGTTCCAAGCTGACGGTGCTGGGTAAGGAGGTTAGCTGGGGGCTGAGCGCTCTGCGAGGTGGGGTGGAGACAGGTGGGCAGCTGCCCGGCTTCTGGAGCTGTGCTAGAGGCGGGGCTCGGCGCCTGGGCCGGGACTCCCGGTTCTGGGTGCGGGGTGCGCGAGGGAGCGGGGCTGGCAGGAGAGGGCAGCGCCGGATTTTTGCGCTGGGGCTCCGGGCTGTGAGTACAGAAACTCAGTATTTCGGCAGGGGCACCCGGCTGACCGTGCTAGGTAAGCGCGGGGTGCCCGGGGACGCCGGGGAGCGCGGTGGGGCCAGGGGACGGCGGGCCTGTTTTTGTGCTGCGCCGGGGGGCTGTGAGCCAAAATACCCAGTACTTCGGCGCGGGGACCCGGCTGTCCGTGCTAGGTGAGCGCGGCGCGCGGCGCGGCCGGGTTCTTGGCTGGGGGCCCGGGGCCGTGCTTTACAAACAGCCTCTGCCCTGACCTTCGGGGCCGGCAGCCGGCTGACCGTCGTGGGTGAGTGGCCGCGGGACCCGCCGCGAGCGCCGCGGGGTCGGGAGGGAAGGCGGCGGCCCCAGGGCTCTTCCCCGCCCGGCCCCTGGTGGGCTCCCGGCGCTGGGGCCCGGCTGCGAGCGGGAGCGGGAAGCGGCTGGGGCGCTGCGGGGTTTGCGTGTGGGGCTGGGCCTCTGTGCTCCTATGAGCAGTACTTCGGCGCCGGCACCAGGCTCACGGTCATAGGTGAGATTTGGGCGTCTACCCCCGCGGCCCCGCCACGGTCCCTCGGAGGCGGGAGAAGGCGCGGGTGGGCCAGGGCTGGGGCGCGCGGCCGGCTGTCGGTCCGCGGGGTCAGCCCGGCGAGGGGGCGGGGACCGAGTCCTCGCCGGCCGGGCACGAGGGCGGAGGGCCAGGGGGCTGTGGGGCTCTTTTCCTGTTCCTGGGGTATTTAGGGGCAGGGTGAGTGGGGCGCGAGAGCACTGATGAGGACGCAGAGCCGCTGGGTTGGGGGACAGGACTGAGAAGGGCTGCGGGGAGGAGAGGAGGGGTGTGGCTGCTATAGAAAGCGGGCACCGAGCCCGAGGGGCAGGAAAAAAAGCAAGGACAAGCATGGGACGGGCGGGCACCCAGCCGGGCGGGCTCCTGGGGGAGGTAGATGGGAGGGGAGGCCGCTGAACAGAGGAGAAAAGGAATGAGAAACAGGAGAGGAATAGAGAGGCCAGATCAACGTGAGTCAGTGAAGAGAAGAGTCAAAACAAGCAGGGTTAGTTGATTTACTGTTTAGCATTTAAAATCATATTTAATACCCCTGCCTTGCTCTCCTAAGCCAGAGAGCCCCCTGAGGTGTGTCTACAGCACCCATTCCTGCCCGTGAGCTGGACTGGAACCCTCAGCCGCTGGGATGCATTCGCCCTGCCCCCCGCCCCCCACGTCTCCCTCTGCCCCCCAGCCTGAAATCTCGGACCTCACACGAAGAATTCCGGCGTCAACAGCCCAGGTGGTGGAGGAGGTTCAGCTGTTGCAAACGTATATTAAAATGCAGATATTTTGTTTGTGAGGTGAGGGAAGTTTCCAGGAGAATCCTAAGCTCCTAGATGTGGAAAGGAACCTCAAACATCACCTGGTGAGGAGAATGTTGAGGCCAGAGAGGGGAAGAAACTCATGATACTGGTACATTAACCTGGATTATTTGATAACAACAAGCCCCGTTTCTCCTTAGACTGTCATTAAGCCGGAGCCAATGGGGCTCATCTAAACTCTGTCCAGGGCAAATGCCAGATTCCTCTGATCAGCAGGGGTGGGCCCAAGACCAGACTTTAGAGCCAGATAAACCTGGGCCCCAGTCACTGGCTCGCTGATGATCAGATGACCTTGGGCAAATGAATCTGTGTGAAGTTCGGTCCCCTCTGTGGTACAAGGTCATCAGCAATACCTACCACTTACCGTTGCTGCGAGGGTGACCAACAGGAGAGCCTACGCGTAGAGTATGCAGGGAAGGTGGATTGTTATAATTTGGCCCTTCTCTTCTCCACCCTTCCTCTTGGTGGTCAGTGGGGCGTGAGGGGAAAGGGTGAGCCCAGTGCCCGAGGAGGGACAGGATTTGGCATGTGGATCATGGAGGGGAGGGCTGGGTAGGCGTGAGCGGTGGATCAGGAACAGGAAAGATAAACTTCACAGTGCTGCCTGAGGCCCATCCAACCCACAAACAGCATATATACAAACAGAAGCTCACTAGTACATACACTTACACCCACATAGGCAAGCTCACCCACACCCCACAGGGACTCACAAACATGGAAGGATAAACTGACCCTGCCCTCACACGGAGCTGTGTAGACGGGGGCTTCAGAGAGTCACGGCGTCCTGTTTGTCCTGCCTGTTGCGTCCATAAACATCGTGGGAAGCATCACACATGATTCAAAGGACATCACTAATTTTGCAAGAAGGACTGAGTGGGGGCCAGAGGAGTACATTCAGTAGTGCCCCAGGAGAGCTGGTCCAATTTCAGAGCCAGGGTCTTTGAGACAAGAGTGACGACACCAGGCTGAGCAGAGAGATTGATGGAGCTGGGCCGTACAGATGTGAGGGTGTTACCACCTCTGGTAAAGACCTAGAGACATCGTCTGGGTTAGCAAGTAGGAGTTGCAGGGAGGGGAAGCTGGCAGGATGGGAAGCCCGACCAGCTCAAAATGAAAATGCCAGTCTCTTGTTAAAAATTATTTAGAATTTCAAGATGGTGACAACGGGCCTTAAGCCAAGGGTGGGGCCTTTGTAAGCACAAGGTCCTGTACACGGGTCCTACACTTATGAAGCTGGCCCCGGAAGTTAGGGCCCATCCAGAGAAATGGGAAGTGTCAGAAGGACATTTTCTCCATCTTCCATTCTAAACTAGAATCTCATAAGGAGATTTTTCATTTTAACAGAATTGCCAAAAAATGAACAACAAAAAAATCCGTGGAAAGCAAAGAAGGATAAAATGAATGCACAGCAGACTCAGAAGAAGGGAGCCAGCAAGAGAGGGTGGTCTGCGCCCTCACCCCCGACTCTGCAGAGGAGAGGCTTTGCACAAAAACTGTATCAAAGCAGCTGCTAGCAAGAAGTTGCTCTGATGATCTCAGATGCTTATTCAGGAAGCTGACTGGTAGGAAAAAAAGTATCACATTTGGAAGCAAAGGCGCAAAGAAAGTTGACAAATCCCCGAATTTGATCTAAGGAGAGATTGCTCTCTGCGCTGAGGAACCTCAGGGGGTACTACCCTCAAAGCAGAGGAATGGCAAGGGAGGACCTCATAAACCACAAAGAAAGTCAGAAAATCGCACATTCTCATGAGCACGCCAGAAAACAAAAGGGTACCCTTGCCTGAGTGAACAACAATATGCCATTTGTAGATTGTCATCTGAAGAGAATCCCCAGCCCTCAAATGACCCCCTTTGCCCAATTCCCCTTCACTCCTCAGCCTCTTCGATTTTGAAGCAATTCACCGGCTGAGGACAGAGGCCGTCTGAATGCTCATGTCACTTAACCTCCATGGCCACTCCGGAAGGTCAGGGTCAGGATTTTCCCTTCACAAGCAGGAAAAATGATGCAGAGAAATGAAGACACTGTCCCAAAGGCACACTGGTGGGCAAAGTCAGTTTTAAGATTTGGATCCTATTATTCTGATTCCAATCCTGTGCTCACTGCCCTTGAATAACTACTACGTTATATAGTGAAATGTAGACACGTAAGCCTTTTACTGATGGAAAAGAGGTCAAATAACATCAATGAGGGGACGTTACTCAGAATGTCTACAGGGTGACTGCAAAGGACAGGCAGGGCAGACGAACAATTACAGAGGGATGGGGACAGTGACCCCCAAACACACAGGACCTACTACTACATAATTCCGCTTAGGAGGACTCCATTTCCAGCTTTATCTCTGCCTCTCTCTTTCTTTATTTCTGTATCTGCCTCTGCCTCTGCCTCTGTCTCTGTCACACACACACACACACACACACA